TGTGTTTAAATTTTACTTAAAAACCTTCAAAAAAAAAAAAAACAAAAAAAAACAAAAAATCATGACAACAAACGAATTTGAATCTATTACTAAAACAAATCAATTTGAATTTGAACCAAATCAATTCAAATTTGAACCAAATCAATTCGAATTTGAATTCGTAGATAAAGAAACTTTTAGTGAAGAAACCTCTACTGGTGATGAAATCGCATCCTTGTCCCAGACAATATAGAAAAAATACACCAAAAAAAAAAAAAATATCACAACTGCAAATAAATGAGCACCTGTTAGAGATTATCTTTCATCAATCGATGATGATGGAGGTAATATATACAAACTATGCAAGCAAGAATTTGGTAGCCTGACCCAATATCAACTATTAATCGGCATTTTCAAAATTTTTACCCTGCAGAGTTTACTAAGATCAGGCAACTTAAATCTTGTCAGCTCAACCCCTATGGCCCAAATGACAAATATAAAGTAGATATTTTAAACAATAAACTTTTAAAATAGGTAATTGTCGATCAACAATCATTTTTATTAGCAGAAAATGCTGAATTTAATAATTTTTTAAAGGAACTCGATCCTCATTACAGACTCCCATGTCGGCAAACACTCTCAACTTGGGTTAGCCAAGATTACATTAAAAATAAAAATCAAATCAATTGTTTTTAAATACAATTCAATCAAAAATCTCAATTACAATGGATGGGTGGACCTCTTGTACCCAACAACCCTACATCACCGTAACTGCACATTGGATAAACCCCGATTGGAAAATGAATCGTATCTTACTTGACTTTATCTCATTTAATGAAACCCATACTGCAATCAACCAAGCTAATGCGATCATCAGAATTTTAAAGAAAATGAATTTTGGTCAAAAACTTTTAAAAATCACAACCGACAATGCTGCCAATATGCTTTCTATGGGGCGTATTCTAAAAGAAAAAATTAGTGATGAATTTGATAATCAAGATGTATAGCATTTTCGCTATAGTGCGCATGTTCTCAATATTATTGTCGAAGAAAGAATAAAATCAATTAGTAACGAAATTTCCAAGGCACAGGAGTTCTCTATGAAACTTCGAAACTCTCTATCGTTTATTCGTAAATTAAAGAAATCTTTGAAATGAAAAATATATCATTTTTAATACCCGAAACCGACATCAACATGAGATGGAACAGCATGTATATCATGTTAGAAAAACTTCAACAAATTCGCACTATGACTAATATCCTTGTAGCAGGCAATCAAACTTTAAAGCCAAACTATCCCGATGATCAAGAATAGAAGATTATCGTTGTTAGTAATGCTAATTTAAATTTTTTTTTTTAAATATTCAATTCTAATAAATATAATTACAGGACCTGTTAATACTTCTTGAGCCCATGTATCATGCACTGTAATGCTATCTTCATCAATACT